CTCTCTCTCTCTCTCTCTCTTGCACACACAATCCTTGAGGACTGGCCTGGTCTAATTAATGAAGTGTTCACAGTTCTAATTAACAATGTGAGACGAACATGCCCGCAATCAAAGCTAGATAATTAACCACTGGTGGGTGGGAGTGGGGGTTTGTGTTTGTAGGACTGCCTCTGTGCTGGGGTTTGTATATACATGTGTAGGTGTATGTCTGCTTCCCTGTGTGTGTATGTGCATGCATTTGTGCATTTAGTGTGTGCATGTGTGTTTGCTTAATGAGAGAGCTGGAGTGTGTCTCAACAGACCTGACATGTTGCCACTATAGTTAGCTCTCTGCTGCAGGCACAATGATAGCTCAGCAGAAAGCAAAGTGTTGGAAAAGTACACCCTAACATAAGAGGGATAGCAGAGATGTAATGCCACCATTGTCCAAGTCAATAACTTGTGCATTTCAGAAGATATGTTAGATCGCATAAACACTGTAAATCAAAACTTAGATTAGTAAATCAGCTTATTGTCCAAATCTAGAAGAAAAGAGATGAAAATAACAATGACACAAGGACATCACTATATATTTATATGATTTTTAGCGTACTGTACATATATATTCAGTTTCCAGTCTGTTAGGTTCACTTACCACTCCTGCAATAATGTCCACCTTTGTGAAGGGTATAATTTTCCATTTTTAGAGTAAATTCAGCATCATTTTGGAAGCTGCAGTGTCATTAGTCAGCAGCATTGCATCTTACTAAAAGTTTTTTCTAACATTTAGTTTACCCTCATTATTATGGTTTTTAAAGATTAAGCAGCCAACATGAACCGCAACTTCCCTGCTTCACTTCAAGCCAAGCGCCTAAGGTACCTGTGGATCTTCCTGTTTTTCTCCCTTCAGATCCAAATAAAGGCATAAAGGAATTTACATTCTGAACGAAATTCACGATCTGAAACGTCTTGTCGTATAACACAACTCTTTCATGCTGATTTTACCCATCTGTCTATGAAAAAATGGCATCTGTGTGAATACAGACTCCACTCCTTACTCCAGCATAGGGGAACCAACCAGCCTAGGTTCCTACATGAGCGTTTACCCCAAAAATAGTGCAAGGGATATTACTGCACTGTCACTGTATGGGACACTAACTTTGTGGACACTGACATTACCCGCAGGGTATTTACAGGGATATGGTTCATATCTTCTCACACCACTTTCAAATTAAGCTCATTTGGATATGAAAGCACAAACCACTAAGTTAGTTTCCATATACACGGGCCAAAATCTGAACAAAACAAAAACTGTAGTCAAGACTGGAAAGGGTGGGACGCTCTTTAAAGCCTCTAACTTGACCCACATGGTGACCAAAATGTGGGGATCTAAGGGACCTAAATCTCTTTGAGAGAAATCAGCACTTTTTGCCTTTAGCTGTCAAATGCCAAGTTTGTGCATGTGCTATTATATGCTTGACACTCCAGATTCTATCTTTGAAAAGCAAGTCTGTATATATGTGAGGGTATGTATAGTTACATTGAGTTAAAGTTTTCTTGCACAGTAACACAAAGTTTTTCCTTATTGCTTTCAAGTTTTAGCAGTTAACATGCTCTCACAAGTTTTTTTTGGATGGACCCATGAGTTGCTTGATGACATAACAGATGGGCCACAGTCAATGAGTTCAAAATAAAAGTATATGAGTAATTCTAAGCAGATTCAAATATACTGGAGCGTAAAAAACGTTTGTGTAATCATGACCCAGATTACACATTGATTGACTATTGAGTTACATTTCCCAGAACGGTACACCTTGCTGTTTTGTCCACTTCATCATTTGTATGTTCACCCTATGAGCCACGTGTTTCGAAGTTCGCATTGGACCCGTTGCCCCTGCAGCAGCTCAGTACATTCATAATTTACTATCGCACAACACATGCACGCAGGCGCGCACACACATACACATTCATAATTTACTGTGGGAATGTTCTTAACGCATGGTTCAACACAGGCACCCAAATACACCCTCCAGAAGGCACAGGAATGGCGAAAAATGGGTTAGGCTCTCACACACTCTCAGACCCATTAAAACATTAAACTGTGTTGACATATTTACATTACTTTCTGTCCCCATGCACATTGGTTTTCCACCAATAAATGTACGTAAATGCTCATTTGTACGCACACAAACACCGATTTTGCACATACACAGGGGTGGGTTGCATGCCAGTCAGAATCTTGTCAGGCTGGCCTCAATAGGTGGACGAGACAGTCGGGCCAGTTCATCAGTGACTGCTGTCCATAATGGAGGAGGTATGGGAAAAGGGTTTATGAAATGTAGGCCAAGTTAGTCACCAAGAAAAGCACTGACTGAAAGTCCCTCAGTTGAGAAATGGAGAAGCTGGGAAGCAGTTGAGGCTCCATTAATAGAAAAAGGGATGAAGTTAGGATTTTCATCACCCATTTTAAATCAAGCATTAACATTGCCTTTTGGTTTGCCTCGCAAGACAAAAAGAGGAAAGTCTCTCTATATACAATACCTTCTGATCCTCAACTGATATCTGAATTAAGCAGGCTAAGCTGATAATTGCGAAAATGAAGCCAGCCCCGCTGTAGAGGTTAAATTTAATTAATGCTGTCTAGGTTAACTAATTAGATCAGTTATTGAAATTTTCAAAGAAATGAGCAAAGGGCATTTATTTCAGAGGCTTAGCAGATAAGGACAGAGACTTTAAAAAAACTTTTGTATTTGCACTGCATCATCTACTTACTCATCTATCAAACACTGTGCTGTTTGTCCTGGGGCCATCAGCACTTCCTATTATACATATCAGGGAATTAAAACATCTGACGGTACAGGTACAGGTACAGGTAATAAAACATTGATCTGATAATCTACATGCCATTTAGAAGCTTAAATAGGAATTCATATTTACAAACCAGCTAATTCCCACTTGAGCTCACTTGCTGCTGAGGCGTATACTCTTTAGAGTTTGTCTATATATAGGAATATTGTATGTCAACATGTATGGATATTTCAGTATGGATTTCCAGGGAATTAGATTAATGAATAAATTACCTTCAAAGAGATGTGAAACCACACCGCAAGAGAGAAAAAGACAGAGCGGGGAAGTGAGGCGAAAAACAGAGCGTAGATGGGTGTTTTATTAAGAGGAGGGCGGAGGAAATGGAGTGAGATGGGAGGCATGCAAAAGGGGTTAAAGGAGGAATAGGGAGCGAGTAGGGTTATAATGGGAGGATGTCGTCATTTTTTCCCTTCAGTGGGAGAGCAGGGGATTTGTGGGAGAAAAGGGAGATGCCACAAAGGAGGAAATTGACTTGATGGGCTGTTTGGTGCAGAAAACCGAGGGATACTCTTAAAAAGTTAGGTGCGAGTGTGTTTGTGCATGGATGCATGGCAATGTTTGTGCGTAGGACGTGTATGTGTGTTATGCCCTCCAAAGTGTGGTTGTGTACCGCTTACAGACCTCAAACGAGGGAAAAATACCACAGCACACTCATTGCAGCACTAGTTTGTTGTGGAAACCTCGAATGAAGTCATCTGATTGGTCTTATTTGAGGGTTTCCTTACATTGTAGCAGTGCAACAACATGTTTCTGTTGACAGCTACAACTGGGGTCTCTTTCTGCTTTTTTCCCCCACTTTTTTTTTGCGTCAGTGATTTGTTTACACTACTGTCTCCAATAACAAAGTATACAACAGATTTCACAGATATTATTTTTTCGAAGCACATAATGGTTTTAAATGATGTTAGAAGTTCATGGTACAACTAGGTGATGACTCGCTCAGAAGCCTTTTGTCTCTAATTTGCTGTTTTTCTTGAGACGATATTCAAAGTCTCTTAAGTGCTAATTGCTCACTTTCTACCCTGTTCTATGGGTGCATTATTGAATAGAGTCTGATTTCCTTCACAACACCAAAGACGCTGAATGACTGTTGGCATAATGCAGTTTGCACTGGGGAAAAAATGGAAAAGGACAAGTTGTGACAGATGCCTAACCTATGTATGTTAAACAGCAAAGTAGACACCCGAGCTGTGTTCAGACTGTATATATATATATATATATATATATATATATTATTCCTGCATGTTTCACTGTACTGCTATCTTCATACTATACAATTACAATGCAGTGTGTAGAACATTTCTTTTCATCTTTTACTCTTTATGACTTTCACATTTTTCCCTAGAAACAAACTGTTGTTTTCTCAGCTAAAAGTTGATTTAGTAATTCATTGAAATATTAACCAGTGTTCAACATAATGGGGCTTAAGTTAAGCTTAAATGTTAATTGAAATTGGACACAAACTTCCCATTTTAATAAAAGGGAGGGAAAGAGATTTACTAATTCGGTAGAAACACATGGGCCCAGGCGAGCACATTGTTGGTTTGACGTTTTCCTAGATTTTTTTTTGACAAAAATGTAGAACATCGCCAGCTTGTGCCTTTTTTACTGTCTCTACATGTTGTGAACACCTTTTTACCTGTAATTTGGTAAATTTCCTAACAAAATTGCTCTTACTAAAATGTTTTTAATGCTCATTTTTAGTATTAAGAATTCCCCCAGCTTTCATTTGCAACCTCAGTGAAGTCAGGCCCTCAGCAGTCAGGTTTTTGGTATTGACAGTTTGGTCTGGTCTGGTCTGTATGTGTTTACAGAAGTGCATCTATTGTCGTAAACGCTGCACGGGGAAGCGGCAGGCAGGGGCTTGTATCCAGTGCTCATGTGGCCGGTGTCCCACCTCCTTTCATGTGACCTGTGCCCATGCTGCCGGTGTAATCATGGAGCCTGATGATTGGCCGTATGTCGTATCAATCACCTGCCATAGACACCAGTCGCGGAGTTCGTCAGCTGTAAGTTATAGGACAGGTGTTTACCACAGCTGATATGAACCAAGTTATGCTCAGTGAGAATGAACAGGTCAATGTGTCAACGAGACTGATGTGGGTAATTGTAATCACCTAGGGATTTGTGGACATCTAATGAAGAACAGTAAAAGTTGATTCATGACTGGTGATCACTTGTAAATATCACTTCTTAAAAACTGCTGCACCAGCTGAATCTAAATATCATTTAAAGTGTGAAGTATTTGGAGTTTCAAACTAAACTTTGTGAACTTCCAGTGTCTATAATAACACTGTAACCTAACTTTAGTCAGTCAATGAAAACATTGCTAGTGCACTTATTACTAGTGCATTTAGCTAGAAAGCAGAGAAAGAAACTGATCTAGATAGATGATTTTATTACAAAAGTTTAGGTATGTAGAGGTAAAGTAGTCATATGTCATGCATGAACCAACTATGATGATATAGTGATTTTGTCTTTTTTACATTTCTTTATTACTCATTTGAAATTAATCCACATTGGCGTCTGCTATACCATTTCTATGAATCAGCAAAGCTTTCCAGAAGACTTCCTGTTGACGTAGAATATTCCCATCTCAAGTGAAAGCAGCGAAAAATAACCCTGTGTCAATAGCATTACCTCATGACTAAGTGCATGTCAGTGTTTTAAATGGGGTGTACTTTCACAGGGAATGGCGATATTCAAGAAAAGTTTCCTCCCGCTCCTGGTAGAGCTGACACCACACTATCGATTCATAACGAATGAGTCCCACTGTAGATTTTGACGTGTATCTTGACTGTATACTGTAACTAACTTGTATAGTGCAACTTTTTCCTACTAACTTTAAATGTACAAACCTGTTAAAACTGAACCAAAACTTGTGCAACAGGCTGCAGTTTGCTACTGTGAGAAAAAGGTGCCCTAAAGGGTCAGAATATCTAAATTACAAATCGACTCGGATAGATTTTGTTGGTCTTCTATGGATTATCAGAGGAAAGGTCAAGTCATGCTTTCCACATCTGTGTGACCGCAAGGGTAAATTGCGGGTAAATTTCGTCATTGACCTAGTCCGCTAGAGTCTGCGTGTATCCCCTCTGTGGATTTCTTTGTGAGACCCAGAATTTGTGACCGTCAAGCATGCAGATGTGTGCCAGGAACACAAATGCTGCTTAAAAGAAATGCTTGTTGTAAGAGGCTGTGCAAGGAAATTCTCCATCATCCATGTCCTTTGAAATTCATCAGTTATCAAAAGTGCTTTGACTTGAACATGTTTATCCGTGGTGGGAATTTTCGAACTCTCCGGAAATCCTGTGCCATGTCCGTCCACTGTGTTTGACAGCACCTCAGTAATAATCACCCCGGCACAGTGCTACAGCCAAATCTGTAAGTATCTATTAGATCATGTAAAAAGTGCAAAGTCACAGCAGCGTTTTCGAAACGTCCACAGGAGTCTGATGTGTCTTTCTTTGTTCAAAATGAAAGGCAATGTGACCATCTGCATAGCAGGTTGGCATGTATCTGTTGCAGTATGAATAGAAGTTTGCTCTGGTCTGCGCACACAGATGTGAAAAGCATGAATTGGTCCCAACAGAGACAGTGTTTCTGGAAAGACATCCCACTGTTACGATGATTAATTGTAATTTTCAGGACTATGAGTATCACAGAATAAATTCTGTTCACCACTATTGTATTGAGGTGGTAGCATTTATCATGAACAGATTTCAAAACCGGGACACATTCAATGCAAAACTAACTGCAGCCAATGTTTACGAAAGAAAATGTTAGTAACGTAGGTAGTGGACCCGTTATAATGCAGATGCCACTACTGCAGTCATCAAATATAATATAATATCACAGAGAGATTAAATTTGACTTTATACTTTAGTGTCATACATTAGTCTAATTGCTGCTCTCTGCTCTCTGTCTGTTCTAGAAGCAACGACCGTGCCAAGCTTCCATCTCGCTGGGCCAGACGGTGATCTCCAAACACAAGAACCTGCGCTACTACAGCTCCAAGGTCACCCAGATCACCTCCCAGACGTTCTACGAGGTCATGTTCGATGACGGCTCCTTCTCTAACGATACCTACCCTGAGGATATCGTGGTGAGGATATGTTTAATTAGACGCACGCACAAGAGGTCACCTCACCATTGGATGAGGTCATATCAGATATTTAAACTCTCTCATTAGAATGAAGCTTCTTTTTTTCCCTTAATGGTCTCCAATATCTTTCATTTTAGAGCTAACAGTTACCATGAAGCAGTTTTTTGAAAAGGGAAAAAAGGCAACATCACATGGCAATGACATGATGGTTTTGATTAATCGTATAAACAGCCAAGTGTGTTACTACATTCAAGAAGCTATTCCACTAATTTGCAGTCAATCCTGAGCCCTAATTAGTCGTTTTTTTTTAAGTCTACAGCAAATTGTACACCGCACTTCAATTTTATTCTTATTTTTACTACAAAATGTAGCTATTCTATGAAATCCAACCACACAATTTTATTTTGTATAAGGGCTTGATGGAATCACAAGTATATTTGGTCAACATTTTAGATTTTAATTAACATTACTTGTTATTCTAATTGAAATAGTAATTTTTGTCATTGTTTTAATGTACAGGCTGTCAGATGAGTTAAAAAACATTTACAGCACCTCATTAAGGCTGGATGCATGTTAATAGTTCAGTGTTAAAGCCTCTTTCATAATCTGTGTGAGAGAACATGCGTCAGTTTTAAAACAAACACATTCCTTACTGTTGTAAACTTCTCATTTAGAGTATATTAACACTATATACGATATATAGTGTGTATTAATAACTAGAAATGATAGTGAGTTTAAAACTTTGAATGAATTGTGAAGTTTCTTACAATGTCAAAAGCTGTTTACGGCTCATTCTTGTTATTTGGCAGGTCATCTTATCAAAGTGCTTCAACGTTTTCAACAGATGGATACAAAGTTTAGCCGTGACATTAATCAGTAATCCTGGAAAAAAAAAAAAAAAGCTCTTTTCAATACCAAACTCACATTGAATGACTTCTGATTTATCTTTTTAAAGACATATTGACATACTTGGGTGCTTACATAAACCAACCATCGTTCTGTTGTGTTTTCAGAGTAGAGATTGTGTGAACCTGGGTCCTCCTGAAGTGGGCGAAGCTGTTCAAGTGAAATGGCCCGATGGGCTATTCTATGGTGCCAAATACCTGGGGTCCAGTGTGTCCTACATGTACCAGGTACACATACATACACTGCACTCGAAAAATGCTCCATCGTGAGCATGAGTCAATATGTGAGGGAGAGACAGACAAGTGACCAAGTTTTGCAGCTTATTTTTTTTCTGTTTATGTTAGATAAACTTGTAAGCACAGTTTTGGGTCAAAGCAGCACAGCAGTAAACTTGTTAAACTCCCTTAACATCAGAGTCATCGTGACTCCTCTGACGTCAAGGTCCCTCGTCTATGTATGTAGAGGTGGAGGGAGAAAAAAAGAGACGACACTTGAGAGAGATTGAGGGGGGCGCTGAAGTCACGGTGACTAAAGAGGAGACTGAAGATGATGGGAGGAAAAAAGACAGATATATAGGAAGCAAAAGCTGTTCAGACTGAGCGATAAAAAATGGGCAGAGAAAAGAGATGGAGAGGGGGAGAGAGAGAGCGAGGAGGATGAGAAGGAGGTGACAATCTGCATTATTCAAACTCACTGAAATATTCACTAAGCTAAGAGTCATGCAGCTTTCACTTAAAGCTTTATTTAGTTGAGCTGGGCGTCAACCATTAGTTATGCACAAATGCATCTGTGACGCACACACTCAGTTTAAGATAGGTCAGATTTTTTTTTGAAATAAGGCTCAACACGGACTTTCCATTGTCAAGGTGTGTTTCAGTAAGAACCAGATTCAGTTTTAGGATTTACATCGTGATCAGTTTTGTGGAGTGAAGGTAAAATGAAAATAGCCTTTCAATAAAATTTTACCTTTCATATTTAGAGCTGTTGATGTTTAAACAATTAAAAATTTTACTGCAATGCATTTTACAAAAAAGTTATTCTAAAACTGACTAATAAATATGCCTTACAGAATAATGAAAAAACATTGGAAATGTTGTACAAATCTCTATATTGTCAGTGCTCTACAAAGATCATTACTTACTGTTAGATCACCAGTTATCAGTTCTACAAACTTTAAGATAGTAAATAACTATTACATTGTATTATTAATAATTTTTTAAACCAAAAAATATGCAAAAAAACCCCAAAACATGGCAGTTCTTTATTCAGACATTATAGTGGCTGGACAGTTAATAGCATAATGTTAGGAGACCTGAAACTATCAAGGAGGAGGGGGGCACAAAAGTACACAGTGGAAATGATGCCATCAAGCATCCATGTGCACAAACTGTAGAAATCCATAAAACTGCATTTTCATGTCATCTCAGGTGGAGTTTGAAGACGGCTCTCAGGTGCTGGCGAAAAGGGAAGATGTCTATACTCTAGATGAAGACCTACCTAAAAAGGTGAAGCGTAGACTTGTAAGTATTAGACTTACTGGGCAACACGAACTGTATAGTGTAAACTTTAATGGGATACAAAACTAAAAATTCTCTCGGTTTGTGGAGCATTTCCTTATTAGTCATCATTGTTTTTTTCCGTGTCTTGTTTTCTAGTCAACAGCCTCAAGTATGCGTTTCCAGGACGCTTTCTTCACCACGCAGGGGGAGAGGAAACGACAGAGAACACCAAATTCACGCTTCCAGAAAGACTATGTGGCCCTGCCAGGCCTCCGTACAACTGCCAAAAGCACATGGGAGCAACGCAGCCACAAAGGGAAATGAAGTCGAGGGGGAAAGCGCAATGACAAATGAATGCACTGAATGAACAGTGGACGTAGAGGGGGAGGTTGTTTGTGTGAGTGTATACGTGAGTATGCTTGTGTGTCAGTTTTTGGGGTCAACTTTCATCTCAATAAATTTTTCCCACAAAACTTCCCTGTGAAGAGAGCAGCGGAAGGGAAACGGTGTTGTGGGTGAGGTGGATGTCGACTTGTGTGTGCTTGTACATTATACATCAGTGACTGGGTGGTGTGGCAGACAGGAGAGGAATCCCGATTCGACCGTTGGACTCATATAGATTGGGTTAACAGAGGGCATTGTTGCCTCAGTTGCCTCGTGCTTTCACATCAGTCAGGGAAAATAAACGTGACTTACAATTGTCACATCACCCTTTTTTGAAGTAAACACAAACTTTTTTTTTCTTTGTACATGAAAAATTCAAAAGTGAGATTTTTCTAAATAGCCTGCCTATGGTAGCCTTTTTGGGGGGGTCTGTTATTTCCAAGTTTTATTTTGAATGTTTATGTACTTTGCTTGTAGTATTTTTTCCTCATGTCTTACCGTTTCTCCCCGCATGTTCAACATCGTCTCCTAACTGCTTCTGCTGGGCTCAGTCCAATTACAGTACAATGACTTCCTCTCTGCATGAACTAAAATATGTGAAATCTGTCATTTGACATTCAAAAGAATCGAGAAAAAGGACTCACCACATGTTAATCACTTCCTCTGGGAAGATATTCAGACAGGAAGCCATGCCCTTTGTGTTGGATTCTGCGTCCTATTAACGTGAAATGCTACTGTTGCTCTGTTGAATGAAACACATTGTTGAAATTATTTAAAATTTGTATTTATTTTTGGCTTGCTATAGTTAAACTATTGCTAACTGCTGAAAGAAAAACAATAAAAAATTACATATTTGTTTTTATTTATTGTCATTTAGTTTTCAGTCAAAATTCAGTTGATGAGAATGGAATTGGCGATTTTTGATACATGAGTAAGGACAACATGTTTTTGATGCTGAACACAAATATTAGAACAATAATTTGACATTTCAGACCATATTGTTTATTTTATTAAAATATACAACAACAAAAACAAGTTGTGATTATGAAGTAGTGATCCTTATTTAGAGATTTTATTAAGCTGTTTTGACAGACACAATTGTTTCCTGCCTCATCAGAAGCAGGGGGATGTAAATTTGTTCACTTATGAATGCAGTGACATGACAGAACATCATTAGTAAGTGTTGATGGTCAAACCTCAGGGCAGAGAAAGAAGTTCCCACCAGACTTTCTTCCAAAGAGCAGTCTTCAGACATCACTAAAGTATTTATGGTTAAAGATTGAACTTTCTGACTCGTTGATGTTTGGAGAAATTTCTATATAAGCCAAACCAAACCCCCCCCCCCCCAAAAAAACAACAAAAAACAAAAAACAAAAACACAAATGATACAGGTTTTATCAGTGATACTCTGAACTATGGGATCAGCTCTTGCAGGTTCATACCATATGAGGCCACCTCATGCTGAAGGATACAGAGCTGAGTGTTCCCAGCTGCTTGGCAGAACAGACAGCAAGTGAAATCCAGGCAGTATCTTAAGTGGCTTAAGTACTCCCAATGAAGCGTCCCAGCCCGCTTCAGATGGCTGTTTGTGGTATCAAAGCCAAAGCACGAAGACACGTCATCCTTGATGAAAAAGACAAAAAATACATAAAAGGGAGAAAACCTCCTTGTAACACCATTCCTGTGTGTGGTTATAAAGCACAGTCATGCAACCCCTCCTGTTTTGTTTTCTTTTTTTCCCCTGCCCTTTCTAAAAAAATCTGACAAAAACATAGCGAAAAGGTCTGCTAGACACTGGTACATATTCAGGGTGATACACTGGAGATCTGTGCTGGTGAACTGATTTGCTCTGTTACTGGAGAGTGGGTCCTTTCACATCAGGTCATATCACTTTGTATAGCAAAGTTCTGACAGGAGTTTTATATTTTGGCCTGTCATTTTCGAACTTTTGCATGCATCATCACAGAAGAGATAAAGCTTTTAAAAAATGTATAACACTCTGATGGTTTGAGTAGCCAGTGAGTTAAAGCAAGTCTTAAGTACATATGTTGAGTCATATACCTTAAAACCACTTCAATTATCCCTATGATGTCATCACAAAGCAGAAAAAAGTGGGGGTTTTTTTGTTTGTTTTTTTGTTTTTTTCTTCCATATAGCATCATGGATGCATCAAGTCTACTGGGGAAAGGCAGAGGGGTCAAATGGTCTAAAACTTCTGTTTTAAGTAACTGTTGACATTTGCAATTGGAAAGTCAACAAAACAGATACACAATGACTTTGAAATTACTACAAAACTATGAAAGACGACCACAAACATGTGCAAAATGATTATGAAGAGATTAAAAAATGACTGCAAAGAGACACAAAACGAGATATGAAATGACTACAAACAGATGCAAAACGCTTAAAATGAGACACAGATTGACCACAAGAGCAACAAAACAAGAACAGACATGTAAACAACTTTTAAACTACTACAGACAAAAAACAATAAAAGTTGCCCAGAAGTGATGCAAATTACTGCAAAGTCAACAAAACTACTACAAGCTAAGAGAAAGAGATGAAAAAGGACGCAAAAAAAACAAACACTAAAAGAGATGAAAAAGTGCAGCAAACAAGAGACACACAATCAACTCTGAAATGACTACAGTTACAAAACACCAAAGATTACCCAGAACTGTTACAAAATGACTACAAAGACAGCAAAACAACAGCGAGCCAAAAGATGCAAAAAAAAAAAAGAAAAAAGGGGAGATGAAACACAACTAGACAACCAAAGATGACCAGGTCAAAGATGGCCAAGAGATGCAAGACATCCATGAAAAATAAGAGTTGGTTTCAGTCTGTGGTGGAGGGGCCTTTAAATGCCCCTGTATATCCAGTTCAGATCTTCATGGATGCCCTAATGAATAGTTTGTTGCCTTTGTTCTGTCCTTCAGATTAAATAAAGAGTTTAGTTATTTACTCACAGCACAGTGTAAGATTACTGGACAGGACCAGCTGATCAGAATTCATAGCGGAGCTCAAACCCTTAAGCTGTTGTTTCTTTTGTGTTATTTACTATGAATTATTTTCTTAAATAATAAAGAGCACTGAACTAACAGGCATTCCACAGCCAATACAACACTTTTAACTTAATATTAGCATCATGTAATGCATGACAAAGAGCTGCATTATTATACTCAGGTGGTTAATTTGGGGAAGAAAACACTTAATTTGCACTTTTTACAGACTACCCTGGTGTCTCACACAGACCTTCCAGACATTAAAGCTGGTATTTCATATACAGGAGTGTGTTACAGGAGTAGAATGAAAAGGACTATGATAAAAAAACAAAAAAACAAAAAAACTAAAAACACTGAGAGCCACATGGAGAAGTGTACGTCTGTGAAGGATCAAGTGAGCCTTTGGTGCACTCGACACAGTCTGATAGAAGAAGGCTGGAATTCCTTAGAAATGAGTTGATAACACAGCTTATAGCAAATGCATCTGAGTGTCAGAGGTGCAAACGAGGCAGCTCTGCTCGGCCTCTCCGCAGCCTGCTGGAGATCACGCAGGAAGATCATTTGCTATGATTTCGCCATGACAAGTCAGACATGACTGAGCATCGGCCTCAGCTCTCCACTCGATGCCCGAATCTGTTTCCTAATATGGATTTAACAAGACTAAAAGAGTGGCAAGGCAAAGAAGCCCTGTGAGGCTGGAATGCTCATTACACATCCAAACTGAAAAATGGTTGGATGCAGAACTCTCAAATAAAAAATAAAAAAAAAAAAGAAGAGGGGGGAGAGGGACACAAACAGAGCTATTCTTAGCATTTTACCATTAGCAGTGGGGGGAGAAAAATGTTTAAAGTATGACCAGAGGGTGGCATGAAAGGCTGGCTATCTGTGCCATGGTGGTCATATCAGGACATCTCCAGCCTCAGAGACCAGCTTCAGTCCGAGGTGCAACTTAGTCTCATGTCCTGGTTTTAGGAAGGCTCTTCAACAAATGTCTCTTAACACAAACCTGAGTGGATCTATGCCTTTCTTATAATGAGAAATACTCTAAATAAAAATTAAAAATGCAATCATTTCACACTTATAACTAAACAAGCTGAAATTGAAGTTTTTATCAAGTATCAGAAAAGTAACCAAAAACTGTAATTTCACGAATCAAGTGATAATGATAGTAATAAAACTTACAGATCGTGGTCACACCGTGGAGGGTCATCAGTGAGGATTTGTCACAGGTGAGCTGGCTGTCAGCGGCTCCACCCACACATGAAGCAATCTAGGTCAAGTGGAGGAAGATTGGAGTGGGAGGCTGCCAGCTGCACTTAGACTCACTGCGCTTCATAAACTATTATTTCCACCTTCTATTGGCACTGGATGGAAAATAAGGACATCACCGGAATTCTTAGGAGTCATCAGTTCCCGGTGGACTGAATTTCCCTGCAGTGTACAGAACATCACTGTGGAACAAACCATTTCACGCTGTTAATGGCCGCTGGTGCAGATTCACAGCGATGTAAAGGACATTACTAAGCACTTTATCAGATCTGTGACCAAATGTATTGATCAGTCATCATTTATACACTTTCCAAAGGCCACTGCTAAAGTATATCGATAGTCTTTGTGCTGCTTCGAATATACTCATCTTTTATTTGTTATTGTGGCTTTTTGCGTCATGAGGTTTGCTGCAAACTACTTTCTAAAAAACTATTAATTCCTCTTGTGGATGAGATTAATTACTAGATTAATTAAATTTCCGCAGGAATAGTCTCTACTTATGTTAATTCTAGTTTTCTGTTTCCATGGTGTCAGTCTGCCATCACCTCCTTTGGTCCAGACTGAAATATCGCAACAATAAAACAGGAAGATGGATTGCCACTACATTTAATACAGACATTAACATCCCACTTAGATTAATTGTTACTTTAATTTAACATTTTTTTTCCTCTAGTCAGGTCAAAATTTATGAGCAAATACATGCAATAAATTAATAGAACTAAGCGTAATTTCTGCTGTATATTATGTTCAGAGCACGGTAACAAATGTTAGCATAGTGAAGTAAGATGTGCACATGGTGAACTTCATGTAAGCGTGATAATTATTCCTAAAGACCATCTGGTGGGAGCTGAAGGGACCAAAGATTTTGCATGTTTTAGTTGTAGACTGTATGATCATAGCCCATTACGTACTACTTGTGCATGCTAAAAGCCCCATATGGTGAAAATCCTCCCTTGCCTCCCAGCTTTATATGCCAGTAAGAATGTTATCCATCTTCTATGTAGAAACTTAGAAACTAGTGGTGGTCCTGCTAAAAATGTGCATACTTCTGCAACCTCGCTGCAGAGGTGAGCAATTCAGAATGCACCTGCCTCACAGTCCACCAGCTTTATTTACTTTCTAGGGCTTCTTCTGCTAACTCTAAAATGTCTCAGCCACGAGCAAATCACCACAAATGTTCTGCTGTTGCCTGCAAGAGCGGACACAAGAGTCTTCATGCACTCCCAGCATCTGAGGAGCTGAAGACCCAATGGATTACTCTCATTTTTGGCAGCAGACCTGAGACCTGAGGGGTATACTAAAGTTAAACTTTAAACTTAAAATATATCAAAGCGAAATTAATGTTATTGATTGAATATTCTCTAATATATACCAGAAGTATAATCCATTTCCCGTTTTCTGTCAGCTGCAGTACCAGCAGTGTAAACGGACTTGACAGCAAATCAGAGCCAAACATAAAAGCATCCATCCATCCATCCATCCATCCATTCATTATCTATACACCGCTTAATCCTCACTATGGTTGTGGGGGGCTGGAGTCTATCCCAGCTGACTTAGGGCGAAGGCAGGGGACACCCTGGACAGGTCGCCAGTCTATCACAGGGCTACACTTACAGACAACCAAGCACACTCACATTCACACCTACGGACAATTAAGAATCACCAATTAACCTCAACATGTTTTTTTGAGGACTGCAAGGTGTCTCGGTGGGTAGCACTGTTGCCTCGCAGCAAGAAGGTCGCCAGTTCGCATCCCAGTGAAGGCACTGGGATCTTTCTGTGTGGAGTTTGCATGTTCTCCCCGTGCAGCGTAGGCTCTCTCTGGGTTCTCCGGCTTCCTCCCACACAGTCCAAAAACATGTTCAGGTTAATTGGTGATTTTAAATTGTCCGATGAATGTGAGTGTGCTTGGTTGTCTGTCTCTAAGTGTAGCCCTGCGATGGACTGGCGACATGTCCAGGGTGTCCCCTGCCTTCGCCCTAAGTCGGCTGGGATGAGCTCCAGCCCCCCGCGACCCTAGTGAGGATTAAGCGGTGTATAGATAATGGATGAATAGATATTTTTTGGACCTTGTGGGAGGAAGCCGGAGAACACGGACAGAACCCACGCTGCACGGGGAGAACATGCAAACTCCACACAGAAAGATCCTGGGCGTCCTCACCGGGACACAAATCAGCGACCTTCTTGCTGAGAGGCAACGATACTCCACCTTGCAGACCAATATAATAACACATTTATGATTTCTGCATCGCCAACTAACTACATGTCAGGTTCCCATGGCAACATGGTGCATACAGACCAGGTTAGCTCCACAGCATCAGTTACCATGGAGATCTAGCCAGGTAAACAGAGATCCACCTTTGTGACACTGAAAACTCTGATTTTAAACTCAACATACCTCACAAACTCACTAATCTCGCTTTGTAGTACAGCCCTCTGGTCTCTCACACTCATTTATGTCAATGTTAACTGTTGTGCAGTCGTTCACAGATGCAGAGAGTCTTCTTCCTGAAGGAGGTGTAGACAGCAGCAGACACTGATGAAACAGCCCATTTAAAACAAAACCAGGTGTTACACAGTCACGGTAAAATGAAAAAGTCAAATGAAAGACATGTGAAACTTTCATTAATTTGCTATAAAGAAGCACAATAAAGTACCTTTCAGCTACTTTAAATCACATCTGGTAATAATCCTAAAGCATGCTGCCAGTTTCTAGATTTACTTTAATACATCCCCACGGTGATGAAAAGACACACAGCCAGCAAAAACATTGATGTCATTAAAAATTTAAACGAGTTTGGTCTCAGATGTCAGTGTCCATAATGCACTCACAAGAATTTTTAAACCACCCTATTAACCACAGCCTTGTATGAGCGTCTCTGACACTCGAGGAAAGATAGTGATGGAAATATCTCCAGTATGTGTCAAGTCTCCAAAAATGAATATTCATAAACTACCTCTGCCTCTGTTGTCATTTAGAAAGGAGCCAAACATGAAGAAACCTATTTTTAACTGAGACAAAAATAATGTTTGGTAAGAATGTCCTAATATCAACATAAAGGCTTCCTACTTTTCTCCAAAATCAACAGTTTAAGGTGGTGTTTAAATCCTGAGTAAGTCAATATAGTTGCGGTTATGTTCAAGTCAGTATTAAAAAATGACAGAGGTAGCAGTTATTTCACTTGAGTTTATTTGTAACAAATGAAACTTGTGTCGATAAAGAACAGAAATCCATACAGACCTGTTTTTCAGTTTTCACGCGCTCCGAGAACCAATGTAAGAAAATAAAAAGCACTTGTTGACTCGGAGCAGAAAACAAAAACAAAAGAGTTTACATGTACAGACCAATTGGAGGTAACTGATCCAAGTAACACACCATATTTTCATTTTTATACAATTTATAAACTCCAGTTTAATCCATCTACATGATACATTGGGGGTAAAATAGAACACTTTTTTGTGAAACTTTTCTTTTGTGGTACAACAAATCCACAATGTGATGTATTGCACATACTGCTGTGCCATAAAACTGTGATTTCAGGTGCATCCTTTTAATTATATCACTCTGTATATCTGATAAAATTTCTATTCACTCTTTACCTTTGTTGTTTATTTAGTTACGCAATTCAATTTACTCTCTGTGTTTTGTGTTATTTACATATACACAACCATGTGAGCATTACAGGGTCCATCTTTACTGACTTCAAGTAAGACTCCTTTTTGGGGGCGGGACTATCAGAGATAATAGGATACTAGTATTAGTGCATAGTACAAAGAGAGAAAGTGCAAGTCTTCCCATGACAGGTGCGACCAAGGGGACATCTCAAAAGTGGTACCATGCATACAAAAAAACAACAACAGGGTTACTGTAAGATGGTGGAAAACTGTCAGCGATCCCTTATATGATCAAGCGTTAATGGGGATAGAAAAAAAATTACTATGTTGGTTCTGTGTCATTAGAGACATAGCACCTGTACTTCTCTCAGCCTTTTGTTGTTAATGGAAATCATACACAAACGTAGTCATCAGAATGTGGAACACAGATGGCCAGTCTGACCGGTTTCAGGTGAAGAGCTTCAGGTGGGCGTACTCATATGTTTGATATCTTTCTTTTTCTTCAAACAGACAGAGAGCCGCTGCTTTTCAGCTTTATATAGATTTCTACATAGCTGAGAAAGTTTGCCTTGTCCGAGCCAGCTCACGGTCAGTGCCAAAGACGCTTGTATGAGGCCAAAATTCAATGGCAGGGAAACTGAAGTCTTCATGACAAGAGTATACACACAAAGCTTGTGTCCTATGAAGAAAACACGAAGATCTTGGCATAGAAACTTTTTTTTCCTTCTCTCTGTCCAAAATGATCAGCTCATCCTTCTCAATAAGCTATTTTGAAACCACATTTTGTCTGTAGTTGAGTCTCGTGTAAGATAAGATTGTTTTTGTCCTTTTTTTTCCCCCATAATAAAAGAGATATGACGATGCAGTTGCTGGGTTTAAAATGATGAGTACAACTATCCAGCCTACACAGAGCCTTCCATTCAAAATTTCACAGCCAATAAACAGAACGCACAAAATACTTTCACGTACTGTAACATAACAAAATCATATCCACAGACATTCAGTCCACACACGCGCGCGAGCATCCACACATAAAATACACAAAAAATCCTTTTAAGTAACTTTATCAAAATAGGCGTGTAATATAAGGCACTAGAAATCTAAAATCAAAATACTTATTAGATGCTGTTTGAAATATGAGTTCGATCATTCGTTGGTTGCCGTGACACATAGAAGGATGACATCATCTACTGGAGTTGTGACATGATACAAGATCTACTTCCTAAGAGGTCAAAGGTTATTTCCTCTGTCCGTACACGTTAAATGGTGGTGGGAACCATAGTAAGTGTAACATCCTTGTGTCTGGAAAAATGATGCACCATCATCACTATCATCATCATCATCATCATGGCATATAACTGCAGTTAGTGACTTGACACAAAAATATATAATACATCTACTTATTGCACACTGAATCAGACACAGAGAAAAGTCAAAGGTGAGCATTCCAGTGAGAAAATTGTTCCTTCCCCGACCCCCACATCCCACCCCCTTGTTCCTATGTCCCCCTTTCTCGCTCCCTGCTTGAGAAATCTTTGTGAAGCTTATCTGGACACATAAATAGTTGCGTTTTTTTTCTTTCATATTTTGCTTTCTCTGCACTTGTGTTCAATGTGGGTTTCTTTCAACGTACACAAAGAAGAACTTGGCGGGATTATTCTTGGGACTTTCTGGTAGCAGCAGTGTTAATACTGTGACGCTGGTGGGGCCCTGGGAATTAAAAAATAACCGTCTTCAGGTCTCTGGCGCTGCAGGCGAGATAGCAATGAGGTTGAGAGTCCTGTGTGCATGCGAAACGAGTGTTTTTTGAAAAAGAGAGTGGGTGGAGAATACAGAAGAGTGACACTCAATGGTGGCGTTTTCCATAGAACTGTGAACATTTTCCACACTAGATTTGATTGTACAATTTAAAACAGTACCGTATCACTTAAAAAAAAATGGCTACAGCTCATTGGATTACACACAAAAAAAATACAACTTTGCCTCAGTATGGTCAGTACGGACAAAGTCATAAACTTGTAAAAACAAAACAAACAAAAAACCCCAAAACAAAACAAAACAAAAAAAAACTAGAACGTGCCATAAGGAATACTCAGTTTTTTAAAAAACAAAACAGTCACATAATCTTCTAAAAAACTAAATTAATGTTTTTTTTTTTTGTAACTTTGTGGTATGCATTTTCAAACCTCTCTTAAACTTCCCATATCTTAAATCGTGAAGCATAAGGTTGAACTGGTGGTGTTTATTACTGTATGGTAGAAATATCTTCTTTTTCATTCATGGGAAACGAGAGTCTGTTTCCAAAACAAAACAGAAAAAAAAAACACTTCTTGGTGTCTTTTTTTTTTTTTTTTTGGATGTGTGTTGTCTTTTTAATACTGTGTGCTCTGTGTTTTCAGTCTCCTGTTGGCAATTCTCTGGTGCTCTAAAATCCCAGTTCTTTCAGTCCACGAGGCTTCCATAAGATGGATTTGTAGACTCCTTCTAGACAGTCCTCATAATAGAAAAAAAACTAAGTTTCCTGTGACAGAAAAATACTGTAGCCGGGTCCTGTATTTAGGTTGGTGATGCTACACTGGTGGTGGACGAGGTGAGAGTTCCACACCCAAACAACAAAAAAAGCAATCTGGGTGCTCACAAAAAGCACTGAAACAAATAAAAATCTATATTTGATCAAGTATTCTGATTGGAACAGCGATTGAAGTTGCTTCTTCAGACTGACCAATGGGGTGTGTTTGGGCTGAGGGTGGAAGGAAACACCCTTGTCAAGCAGGTTGCTATGGCTCAGTTAGAGGTGCTGTTTCTGGGTACAGGATAAGCCGATGGTCCCCCTTCACTCTGCATGTGGTGGCAAAGATCTTCAAAGTCACATCGCAGCCTAGTGCATTAATTCAGGTAGAAAAACTGCACTCGGTTGAATGTGGCGCGAGAGATGGCCACTGGGTTTATGTTGCATAGTGATCAAAGCTTCCCAGGTACTCGAGACTGGCCCGGTAGCAGAACTGGTACTGGTCCTAGAAGGAGGTAAAAGAGCTTCAAGTTAATGACGGAGGAACAAAAACAGAAAGCGTGAACTTAAATAGTGAGACAGAAAAACAGCCGTGGGAAGTTCACCTCTGTCTGAACGGTGGCAGGTCTCTGGGTGCGCAGCATCTTGACAGTCTGGAAGATGTCCACCACTCCTTCGTACCTCATCCTCTCCAGCACGATGCTGAGGGTGATGAACACACCAGTCCTCCCTACTCCGGCACTGTCGGCAGACAGATGGACACATATTTAGAGTTGAAAAGAACTGTAGGGCCTGTGGTCATGCATAATAAAATGAAAGTTCACAATCGTATACAGAAGTTCGTCCCGCTGGCTACGTTAGTAGTGACCTAATTCAGATTATTTGCTCACACATGACATTATTAATGCATAAGCAAGAAAAACAAAGCTGCTCCACTGTGATCTCTGCACTCTGTGTGGGCACTGTAGATGCATACCTGACTATATATGCATTTTAGGCGTCAACGTTTTTATTTTAGGGTAAATCAAATGCTTTCTAGCAGAGGTTCTACAACTGTCTACTGCAGGCATAAACAACATTCTTTCAAAAATTATCCTATCATACGACGTAAGCACCATTTAACACATCTATTCAATCCAGTGACTTTGAAAGCTAGTCTATGTTTATTATGTTTCTTCTCTTTTATTTAAAATTGTCCTTATATTGTCACTAGTCTGCGTAATAGCAATGAACAATACAAAAAAAACCAAAACAAGGTATTTGTAGAAAAACTCTGTCGTACCTGCAGTGCACAGTAATTGGCCCATCCTGGCCAAACTGTTCTTTAGTTTTGTGCACCTGGCCAATAAAATCAATGAATCCTTCCCCTGACTTTGGCACTCCTTGCTCTGGCCAATCAGTGAACTGGAACTGACGAACTGTCCGTGACTGGCCATCCTAAAAGGAGGAAAATGTGTTATTCTTTTTAACAAGAGACCGTGCTTAAACCAGAACAAATGAGACTATCTTTCTCACGCATACACAGACTGATGACTCACCCTGGCATCTGTGACTTTGAACTCTCGAAGGATGTACTGGGGCATATTGTACTCAGCCATGGGATCTACCACAAAGTACTGGTACCTGGCTGAGCGCTCTGCAGGCCAATACTGGTGACACTTCTCCTGCAGAGGACAGTTAAAAAAAAAAGAAAAAAAAAAAGTCTTCGTTCAGCGCTCTGTCGTGTTCAAATGATCGATTGTGTAAGGAGACCAATTTTTTTGGCTACTTTATCACGAAAGCGTCTCCATAATTTGTAAAATTCATTATTCATTTGAAGACAATCTGGTGCCAGATGAGATATGATGTTCATGCAAGATAACTCATAATTCATAGTGCTTAACAATCATTCTATTTCATTCATTATTTGCCTCTTTTTGGTTGAATTTTTAGGAAAAAATTAAAAATAATTAGCCATATTTAACTACATAGTTTTTATTTTTTGTTACACAAATCAATAGGCTGTCCTGTTGCTTGTTATTGTGTTGCTGTTATTAACACTTCACAACAGACACCAAAGCCCTGTCCTGATGAGAACTTCAGCTAAAGTAAAGAGAAGAACAAAGAGCTGCTGACTATGCTACAATTCAGAGACTCCTTCAAAATATGTCTGAAAAAATAAACCCAAATTACAGAACTACATGTGATTTTGCAGTACAAGCTCAGGCAAAAAACGACCATGTACCAATGTGTTAATTATCAAGAGCAAATCACTGTTTAAAATTGCGGGTCGACAATGCACTGCAACCTCAATCTGTTGTTTAAAAGCTGCAGCTAACCTACAAGGATTTAATTAGTGTTGGTTACAAAGAGTTTTATTGATTCTTTGACTCGATTTTCCTTCAGAGGGTAAAACCTATTATTACATATTCTCTGTGTATTCTATAGCACGTAGTCGAGTTTAAAAGATATCAGCGTGGACGATTATGCTGCTGTAGCCATCGTTGGCTTTGATCCCTGTAATCAACAGATCTACAAAACCTAATACCTGTGGAATTAGAGGTTTGCTTTTGATCGGTACTTACATTTATATCCTAAATTACATTACAGCATGTGTGTGTTTATGTGTGTCCGTACCCGTCCCATTTCTCTCAGTTTGGTTAGCATGACAACTATGGTGGAGTTGTGTTCCCACAGCATCCTCCAGTAGTCCTCTGTGGTCTCAGCCAGTGGGCCTTGGGTTGCTATGTAGGCCTTCTGCTGCCTGCACACACAGATACATTGATAAGTGCATAGAAAAATGACCTTCTCTCCCTGATGACATATATATTTTTCGGTTCCAGTTTTCTCTGACCTGTATCCATCGATAAAGCTGGCGTTGATGTAGTCAGATCCCTCCACTCCTCTGATTGGCTGCAGACAGACGCGTGTGGTCTCGTAGGGCATAATGTTCACCAGCCGGTTCTTGAACTTGTTGCATGGCAGATTGGCACTCACGAACCGTGATGTGTGGGCCTTGGCACTTGCCAGACGCTGGAACAGGAAAAAAAAACCAAAAACAATATTTTTAACACATGTAAAGGAACACTTCTAGGATGTGGGCCTTGGTAAAAGCACAAGGAAACAAAGGACGGATGGATTAAAGGCAAGTCTAGATAAATTCAAGAACCTCATTCAAATGTGTTTAGCACAAGGCTTAGTTTCCCTCTGGCGTACTGGACGACCGAAATTAGAAAATCAGCTCGACTCGACAGGCCTGAGGACATTTAGTCAGACATCTTCAATTGTATAAACAAAGCAGGGGCGATATAGGGGGATGAGGGCGGCGGCAGGGAATGGAAGAGGGAATATAATAAGACGAATAAGAGGAGGAAGGAGAAAATCAAGAGTCAGGGGTGCAGGAAACCACAAGGCCCCACACTGTCTCAACACACATATGTGAACCACAGTTGATCCTTTGGAAAAAAAACAAGAAAAAGAACAAAACAACTGGAACACACACATTCATATAGATACATGCAGACGGGAAGACGTGAGCACATGCTGCACCCTCTCTCTCACACTCGACCATTGGATGACATGGCTTAAAACGAAACACAGAACAACAGAGAGCAGGCAGAGGGAAACCGCAGACTCGGTGGGAAACAATGGGGTCTCATGAATTGAGCCCTTGACCATCAGCAGCTACCGGAGCGCTGTGGGAGAAACAGCAGTACCTTGTTTTCTTACAGACAGACTAAGCTGGAAAATCCCACCAACCGCAAGTTCACTAGTTCATTTGAGTACTCTGAATCCAGTCTCCAGCATCAACAATAGTAATTCTTTGTGTCATTTGGTTTGAATTTGACTCGGTCTTATCAATAAAGTCTGGCGAACACAAAACTTTTTTTTTGCTTTGATATGTGCCAATATTTTCACCATCTGTTAAGCTTGGATAAAATCCTGCCCTGTTGGCAGTTTCTTTGAACTCAAGCAGTAAACTCTCCGTGAGAGGAAACAAAAACAAGACATATTAATAGGGTGTTGGATTACTGAAAGTTGCCAGAAAATCGTCATTTCTTGCTTTTCTCACACACATGCTTCAACTTTCTGTGATTTTATTTGAGGGATGTGATGCCGCTTCTCTGAGAGAAATTCCATCCTTTTGGTGTTTTGTTGGTGAAGGTGGAAAGTACTGCTTCAGATGGTGCTCCGCAACGTCCTGTAAGTGTTCAAGCGAGATGATGTGTGGTGACTGGGACAACCCTGGCATATGTTTTAAGTCATTGTATGGTTTGAGCAAAAAAGTCACTGAGCACTCAGTTCATTGTCATTATGAGGAGACCGCTGCTATTAGGAGAGGAATGCTGGAGCATAGGATGAGGGCGATGCTTAGAGTCGCCTTGTGTTTACTTTGCCCTCTGAGTGTCTGAGCAGACATAAACCATTCCAGGAAAAATGTAAGCCACCTGCTTTCAATATATACCTGTATGGCTGAAGCTGATTCTCTTTTCAGGCAGCCAGACTAGGCAGGTCTGCACAGAGCTCATCTGGCAAAGAGTAAATACCACAGTAAACACAACGAAAGCAACTAGAATAAAATGAATGCTTTGAATCCCTTATGTTCTCACTCTTACTGCTCGTGTACTGATGCCTACATTTGGTGTTCTCGCTGTGAATTCTGGTTAGCTCCTTGCATTTTTCAAAATGCCCATATGATTTTCTCCTTAGATTTTCTTATAAACTGCATCTTTCTGGTCTTTCTGTGCATGCTTGTCAACTTTCCAAAACTATGATGCTTTCTGAAAGCCTCCTTTACCTTAGATTCAAAAGGTACAATCCCATAATCCCTTTCAAATCCAACCATCCATCCTGAATATATGAAAACTCTCAGAGGGGCACTGAAACTGTAAGAGTTGCTAACAGTCCTGGGAAAGATGCTCAGTGTCTGACAAGGTCAAAACTTTCACATTCTCACACTCTGTATGAGCTTGTAGACAATGTTCTTCCCAAGCTGTGGCGGTTGGAGCCAGCATCTTATAAAAAATTTGAGATGAAACTTAATGTGCTATTTATGGTTTCGCAATTGTTTTCAAGCTGAAGAATTAAATTTGAACCTCACCTGTTAAATTATATGGATAAGAATAGTTAAAGGTGCATTTCCAGGTCATGCAGCAGTGGATGCAGCTGAGAGCTCAGTTATGTTTGTAATGTGGGATGAGTCACGTTACATTCTTTGTGCACTTTACGGTCTTTGTGTTTGTTTTTATGCCTTCTTTAATGTTTATTTTCATTTACCAATTAACTCCAGGAAAAAAAACAACAGCTTTTCTGATTGTGTTTTCTTCTTTCTGGGAATAAATTGTGGGATTCTTGAACACCCTTCTTTCTCTATACTCTTTTGTTGTTAAACCACACCATGGGGGGCACAATAATGGACAAAAAACAAACAAACAAAAAAACAATAGAAAAAGACAAACAAACGTATATTAAAGGTACAGGACAGAATTTAATATAAAGCTTGTGCCAGCAGCTAGACAGCTTAGCTTAGCGTAAAAACTGGAAACAAAGGTTCCAACGTCAGGCTACCAGTCCATCTACAGCTGCAACTACATACCTAAAAGACAGATATCTAACATCTTAATATCTAAATTGCAGCCTCTACACCTTGATAGAACTCTCCAGATCCAAGTCTAATGAATCGAGTACTTTACACATCCACATGCGGTCAAAAATACCCCATTTAATCCTCCATTAACTGCAGTAGCATGCACGTTGTGTATGTGTTGAAATGTTCCTGTGGTCTGGTGCGTGTCAGACAACCAAAAAGAGCTTTAAAGAGTCGTACATCTAAACATAAGAAGGCGATAAATACACATAACATAGCTCATACCAACATACTATTGCCCAGCATTATCGACACACAAATCACAGCACTGCAGTATAGTTCTGGGCAATAAAAAAAAGTCCTCCCCTCTTGTAGTGGTGGTGACATCAAAAACTCCCCTCTCCTCAAAAAGAAATATTGGATCCACTCTTAGAACATAGTGGAGCCTTTTAGCATGAATGAAATACTGAATTTGTCATGTTTCCTTGAAGACATTACACATGAGAGATGTTTATATTTGCTCTAAGAGAGGTCTCTGATGTTTTGTTTTGTTTCTGACATGATGCTGACCCTCTGACATAATTGAGCTGCTTGATTTGTCATGTTTCCTATGACTGGTGTTTGTTCTGATACTTTTGTACTTTTATCTTTGTAACTTTAAGACAGATGTGTGTTCTTTTATTTCTGACATGGTGTTAGAGATGTGGCGTTTTGCTAATCCTCATGCTTTGATATAACATCCAATGGATATGAAACAGTGACGTGCGGTCAGGGGAGGCAGATGAGGCAGAGCCTCACCTGACATCAAGGAAAGAAAAAAAAAAATAATGATAAATAATTAAAAAAGTTATATTTATCCAGTGATTTGTACTATAAAGTATTTATTTTTTCATTTAGCCTGAATTTTTGCAATTTCCCATTCAAATGCTTGGAAGAGAAGCCGGTGAGCCTCAACGTTGATAGTGCAATCCCTCACTGTGCTGGCTGCCATGCGCAGTCTGTCACTGCATGGCAGCCAGTGAAGTGAGGGATTGCGCAATACAAGTGAGGCAGCAGCCAGCTCAGCCTCACTGGGATTGCACAATCCCTCGCTACCTCCGCTGGCTGCCTGCAGTGACAGCGTGCTGCTGTCTGTATGTCGCCAATAACATGGTACAAACACATTTAATATATGAACTGATTTTCCATAGTTCAGCTGATGTGTATAATAATGTACAGTGTTTTTTGCTACCAACTGTATGTGTGTAATGTGTTTCGTATGCTGAGCGATCATAAACGGCTGACAAGAGGTTCTAGGTGAGGCAGGCAGTTCTCTGGCCTCATGGCAGGGGGCGCTCTGATCCCAGACATGCTTCTTGTGACTCTGTGGCTGCAGAGTAAGTGACAACAAGCTAGACTAGGTACGGTATACATTTAGCAAGTCAAGTGCAGCGAAGGAAGATAAGGAGACTTTTACAAAAAAGTAACGGATATTTTTGTCCAGAAGGAGCGGAGCATGGACTTCTTTTAAAGGTAAAGGTAAGACTGCAATAACTTAAAAAAAAAGAAAAAGAAAAAAGAAACATGCGTTTTGTGGGCTACAGCTTGTATGTGTAAAGAATGCAGATATGAAACATAACCCGTAAACTGCTGCCAATCAAATGGCAAATATGCTACTGTGTAGAGTGCATGTTTTTGTAAATCAGATTCTGATGAAGTCAGTGCCTCACCAGCCATGAACCTCACCACACGTCACTGATATGATCAACCAATTGTCCAGTGACAATTGTACACCTGGTGTAGGCTGAAAAAATCTGTTTGCCTCATGTCTTTGGTCACTTTGACTCTGATGAAGGCGCAGCAGCGTCAAAATGTCAATAATCAGTGTGTTCCAGTCCATTTTTGCCCTCTGAAAGTTTGGTATAACAAACTCGTTGACCATATACTGGGGGACGTGATGACCCAGTAGGTAGAGGAATCATTTTTAAACGTTGATTCATCCTGCTGAATGTCTCTGAACATCTACTGTACCAACTTCAGGGATACTTCTGTGTAACTGTCTTTGATGTGTGACCTTCTGTGTCGAGGGGCAAAAAAAAAAGTACCTCTCCCTTTTAGAGATCAGTGAGGTGTGACATTATTATCATTTATCAGTTTTATGAACCTCCATAAATCAGCTGGACCTAATTTTACAATCTTCAGGGACACAGTGAATATTCCTCACCTTGAACTCCAGCTCCATTCCGGTGACATTCTCCCCCGGTTCAATCTGCGTCAGCCTCTGGATGTAGGAGTACAGGTTTCTGGCGGGGACCTCGGTGTTCCCGCAGGTCACAGCCTCCAGCAAAGCGTCGTGAATGAAGATGTACTGGTCCTCCGTCTGGACCATGTAGTTCCTCTGGGAGCGCATCAGTGTGACATGGCCGTAGATGTCGATGGTCTTCTCGTGCTTGATTCGCTCCGTCATGGCGTCGATCACGATGAAGCAGCCGGTGCGGCCCACTCCAGCACTGAGCCAAAAGCAGTAAAGAAGAAAAGGGGGAACAGATGGTGATGGGATTTTCTCACAGAACCTGAGTTATGAACAATAATTTTCCTGAGTGTGTGCTGTGTCTTCACACCTGGTACAAATCTGGCTCTGCAAAGCTCTAACACACTGTGCCTAAATCGACTAAGTATCGCAGAGATGCCAGCCAGCAATATTTCCGACAAAGGACGTAAAAATTGACATCAGCGATGAGTCAGCATCACCGTCCCACTGGCATTAGGAAGATATCCTCCCTATCGACATATAATCCAGAAATATAATACATTTAGCTGCCCACCCAAACACTTCACATTTTTGCTGCGCTAGTACCTAAAGGGTGAGACAGCCTGACCAAGCAAGTTTGTGCGAATGAATGAAAAAACTCTCTTTATATGGTTAAATTAATATCAGTGCATATGTGCGTGTGTGTGTGTCTGTTGTTCAGGTGGAATGAGATTCGGTCCATTGTTTGATACAGAGGCTGGTTGATGTGTTAAGGCACATTATGATGGAGTCTTGCCGGGATAATTAAATTTGACTGATAATCCTGTTAGATACTCCATCTGACTGCTACGGAAGATTAGGAAGAGCTGCTCTCCTGCCAACCTTTTCACCACATCCCGTCCTCATCTCCCTGCCTCTTTATCTTCCCTCTAAGTACCCTTCCAACACTCTCACACCAGCTCTACCACTTTTTCACTCTCACATTTGTACATTTTTTAGGCTCCATTTTCCCCTCCACATTTCCTTTTCTTTAATTCATCATTTTCATTCACTGCGTCCTGAATTTGACCTCACCTTCTCTCTCATTCTGCTCGTATCTCCTCCTCTAAGTCCCGGTCCCTTGCTAACTCTTCCTCTCAATCATTGTCTCAATCCCCTTTTTCTTCCCCTCACTCTCTTCCTCCATATCTATTCCTCACTAATTCTTCCTCAAAGAGCTTCGGCTTCCATATTCCCTATGCTACTCTCTGCCTTCCCTTCTCCTTCATTCGTTGGTAAGAGCAAATAGCAGCTTCATCCCAGCTCTGGAGCGCAACACGGCGCCAAGACCGTAATGACAAGTTTCCAGAATCATCCTCCATCCAACACATGAGCCTCCTGCTGCTCAGATAGCAGCTCATTTGAATATAAACTTATGAACCCCAGTTCTACCACCAGCTTAAACACTAAATTATCAATTGTGAAAGCTAATTATGGAAAACAGGGTCAGCATGGTGGCTGATGTTGTTGTTAAACTTCAGAGATGATAGAGGCTGTTAAGGCAGGAATGTGGGTGTCAGAGCCAGTGAAGGTGGTTTGGGGTTTTGCATAATGGCAGGTCAATTTTACTTCAGTCCAGGGCCTCTGAGTGATTTTATACAAGTGCCTTTGAACTCTTGTTGATTTTCACACAGTCCTAAAAAATATGCTCCCATGGAAAAACCCAAAATAACACATAAGTGTTTCATGCAAGCACATACGCACACAACCGAAAACAAGGTTTTATTTTTGGGTTGTGGACCACTGAATTGATTGTAGGACTAATTTTGGTTCAGTGAGTAGATGAAGTGGTGAAAACACAAACACACCTGCAATGGACAACCATGGGTCCCGCATCTGGAGGGTTGCAAGCTTTCACACGGCGAAGGAAAGCCAGGAAGGGGGTTGGGTGTTCAGGCACCCCGTGGTCTGGCCAGGCTGTGAACTGGAAGTGACGAACCTCACGCTTTTCATTGGAGCCGCTCTGGATGAGCAGACAGACAGAGTGTTAAAGATGAAGCTGGTGATATCCTGTATTTTATTTTTTTTCCCTGTGTCAACAAATCCCATTTAAAAAAAGACTAAAACCAACAACATGGTAGGTGGTTGCTCAGTGCTTTCTGACTTCCCTGTCCTATTTGTGGCACTCAGCTCCATGCCCTACTAGAGATGCAGATCTTGAAAACTAGGTAAGAAGAGCAGCTACAAGGTGTAGTCCGGCTATATGTCATTGGCATTTTTTAAACTTTTTTTTTTTTTAGAAAAGAAATACCAAGCCCAGGATGCAACAATGGTGCCCCTGCAAAATAGTGTTGAAGAGAGAACTGTTTTGGCGGAATATTTGCACATATGAAGGCTAACACTATCACTAAAAATGGCTAAAACACCCAAAAACAGATCTGCCTTGCTGCATCATCTAAATCATCAACACAACTTGAGAATTTCAGTGTGAAAAGTTGCTGTCTGGAGGTTGTTGTTGCCGTTTCCCATAGTGAAGGGATTTAAAAATGGAAACACAGAGACAGTGGAAAGAGAGAAGGAAGCCACGTGATATGCACAAATAATAGCAGGTTTATACCTGCAATCTATATCCAGTGAGTGAAATTTTTAAAAAGGCTCAATATTTTCCCTAGAGAACTAGGCACTGTAGTTTTTGAAGAACATTACTCAAACGTGAATAAATATTCAGAGGTTCTCCTGAAGACATGATGTCTATGTCAAAAATCCTTTTGTAAAATTTGGTTTGCTAATTGGGGGATAACGTTGCACATTTTCAATCAACAAAAACAACTCGTGGCTGGTATATAAATGTAGATAAACACTGTTGGTTTATTGAATCTGACAGATGAAACAATAATCGATCAAAATGCACTAATTAAAGAGAAAATAAGCTACTATAATGTGATAAATTGCTTTAAATCTCACAGGAAACATCATTAATGCATGAAAGAGTGAAAAAACAAACAACAAAGCAACTGCACATTTATGCGAATACTACTACATGGCCACAGAGTCACGTGCAAACACACAAACTAGTATGCATAAATATTTGAACAGATCAATACACACACAACCCCATTACGCTTCGCTACACATGTCATGTTACCTTGTAGAGAGCGAGGGTCCTGACAGAGTACGTAGCCAGCTCCACTGTGTCCAGCAGAGTGACCTGGATGAGGCCGTAGGTCTCTGTGCCACGTGTTGGCCAGTACTGATCACACTTGACCTACAAGGGAAGTGGGGAGAAGCTGTGAGTGATGTAAAATGGTCTGCATATGTCTGAGCACATACTGTTTTTTGCGAAAGAAGAGAGAAAGAAAGAGCTGACGTGGGCGCAAGTGCATGTGTTGAGGGACAAAAAAAAGCAAAATTGCAAAATTCAGACAGTAATGCTTGGAAAAAATGTGCAAAATAGAGAAAACCCAGTGTGTGACAGAGGCTTTAGTAAGTGTGTGGTGTGAAGAGTGACAGACAGAGACGTACTGGGTGGAGGGTATTTTACTTTCTGTGGTGTTTGATCCTGCAAGTTATTTGCCATAGACTGGTGGTCTTTCACAAGGATCCACCACAGTGTTCAGAACCGCCAAGCCATACCTAAAGTTCAGCCTCCACATATTTGATACTGTACATTGCCCTAAATTCCACCCTCGCAAATCCCTACAAAACTACTCACAGCACACCAAATCCCAGCATCCCTGCATCCCGACACCTACAATTCCCCTGTATGAGGAGGTCATATTTGTAGTTCTTCAGCTCAGCCTCAGAGACCACAGAGAGGAGAGGGAAAAAATCCCAGAGGAGATGAAAGTGGAGGGGGGGGGGGGGGGCTTGGCAGAATCAGGCCAAACCAAATGTTATGTGCTGATCCCTCCAGTCCTCACATCAAAGACAGCAGGGAGCTCAGCTCAGCTTGCTCTGCATTCCACTGCTCCAGACTGGGGATTATGCGTTTTGGCCCGGTACGTTCAGGCTGTAATTACAGCTTTTCAACTGTTGTTTTCCCACCAGACCTTGAGACACTGTGGGGACAGGCATGGTTGTCCATGTAGGGGGGCTACACACTGCCAGAGACTAAACAGGATCGCAGAAAATGCCTGGCCTGAAGACTTTATCGTCCATTGATTTATGGGCTAACGGCATAACTGTGCCCTGCTCTTTGCGTGGTTTGATTGGTGCTAAAAGGAAAGATACTGGCAAGATTTCCACAGTGGGACCATCTGTGATCATCTGTGTTGTTAATGCGTAAACACATCATGGCATAATGTTGAGAGGTGTTAAATGAGATTAAATAATTTTTTCCAACAAACAGCCCACTACTCCTTCAAACAGTAGATACAGAGGTAGTGGACAGATAATAAACAGCTAAATATGTTCAAATTGAATGATTCTATTGCATAATGTAACTGCCTTATTTAATTTAGAGGATTTAAAGCTAAATAGGCGTTCACAAACTAAGGATTTATCATGTTTACAAGACAGTAGCAGTTATATCTAAGTGCTGAAATGAAGAAAACTGGGCTTGCTTGAGTTTGTTGAAGACGTTTCAACTCTTATTCAAAAGGCTTCTTCACTTCTGCCTTATGGGATGAGAGGTGAAACACTGTGAAGAAGCTCAAGTAAGTTCAACTGCCTTCATTTTAGCACTTCGATATTTCATGATTTAGAGAACCTGAACCAGTCAACACAGTAGCAGCTAACTCTGTAGAGATTCTGCAGGAGAGCTCAAAAAATCACACTGATTCATGATAATGTAGCCAAAGAGTAAAGAATGTCTTTTTTTTTTTTTTTTTAAAGTTGCTACACAGCATACTACATAGCACTGCAAAGGAGGAAAAAAATAACTTGTGGGTGTGATCATGCAAACTGTAGACACAAATGTGCACTGTTTCTGAACTGCTGCGGTTACAATAAAACCCATTTCAGACCAAGTTAACGATGAGTGCCTTGTGGTGAGTTGAAAACAATCCTGCATTCTCACTCAACGAACTGGCTATTGCTTAGACGAAAAGGGTAAACAGCAGGAGAAAAAAAAGACACTGAAAAGAGAAAAAAAGGGAAGGAGAAAACCATGTGAGGTGAGGTTGCATTTAAAAAGGGATTAGCAAAGGAGAGAAAGAGAGGTCTTGCCTTAGAGAAGAAATAAGAGGGCATCTGAGGGTCAAACAGACACAACAGAGAGAGTTGTAAAAAGTTGAAAAGGAAACAGAGTTTTAACACAAGGCACAGGTTAATAGGAAAAGAAGCACAGATGGGAAGAGAGGATCATTTTCTGAAAAGGGCTCTGGACATAATTGGTTAGCACTTAATCATGATTCATACCTCAAGCCATTCTTGTTCATTTTATTCCAACATGACATTCTCATTACATTGGATTTTTACTCAAGCGCATATTCTGTTAACAACAGCAAAATGCCTTGAAGCCAAATGATTTTCTAATTCATTACCTACCCCAATTTAGCTGTACTTGTAACTCCCCCAGGTCTCGCTCGCCAATCTATGCTATTCTTCTATATTCTATTCTGATCATGCATCCATGCGCTATTCTACGTGTCCACTCTCACTTCACACTTAACCGTCGCATTTTTAGCTTACTCATCATACCGACTGTTGCTGCCTTTTGCTTTATTCTTGTATTTTTGTTCTACATATTTGCGCTCATGTTTTCTGTCCTGTTCTTTTGAATCCATCCATTGTTTAAAAAAAAACAAACAAAAAAACGAACGTCCTCTCCTGTCCTTTCCTGCTCTGCCCAACTCAGTTCTGCACCTCCTCACTGCTGTCAACCCAACTTATCCTTCAGCTGTAATCTTACTGTACTATATCCCTGTCACTTCGCTTCACTATAATCTACAATAATGATCCTGTCCTACTCACCTCTATCCTACCGTTTTTAATCACACTCACCCTGTCCTCTCTAATATTTCTTCAACCTATCTTTTTTTTGTCTTTCTCTCATTCTTCAGGATAACAAAAGGTATTCATCACCTAACTACGGTGCTGAATGATCGCCTGTTCTGTCCGACTCTAACAGTATCAGTCCTGCTTAAGTCACTGTCAGTGGAACGTCCAGTTGTAATTTAAATTCTCTGTCATGGCTGCCCTAAGGACTGCGGAGAGGTGCATTTCTACAGAAACAAGAAGTCTTCTGCAAAGAAATAATGCACTAATATGTCATGCAGGCTATGCAAGTAACTTTCTTGAAACTCCAAAAAGCTATGCTGTGTATTTGATGCTAGTCTTATAATAATAATCCACACCATTTATCTTATTCCTTCCAATATTCTGTTGCAACCTACAGTCTGTTTGCATATCTGCCTACTATTAAGCTATCCTACTGGTTCTCCGTCTCCCTGACACTCTCTTTATTCCATTTTTCGGTCACGATTGTAGTGGAATCATGTTGTCCTACCCGGTCTTCGTTGTCCCATACTCCCTTAGTTCCCATTTACTTACCCGTGACTTCTCTTCCAGCTTGGTCATCATGATGATGTTGGCCGTGTGCTGTTCCCAGACCATCCTCCAGAAGTCCCCGAAGGTCTCAGGGAGGGAGCCCTGAGTGGCAATATAGGCATTCTGACGGCGGTAGCCATCAATATAGTTAGCGTTGATGTAGTCACTGCCTGGGACACCTGCGATATAAGATTTAAAAAAAAAAAAAAGTAGGAGTTACGAAGGGCGGTGGGGGTGGGGGAAGAATAGATAAACAGATGTGCAGGTTGAAGATGATGATGATGAATTGCAGCATGAAAGAAAAGGAAGGACAAACAGAGAGATTGGATAAAAAAGATGTGAGTGTTGAGGAAATCCCGCATTATTTCAATTCTGTCTACCGCATTAGGTTTTTGATGAATGCCAGTGATCGCACCCAAACATTCACTGTCCGTGTAATTTTCTTTGCAGATGAACCTGATTCTTATTCTGTTTCATGGTGGAATAATCTACGTGGATTATTTCAAGTCTACTGCCATGAAAGCAGGTTTATGTCCAAGTAATAAAGGGCGAGTATCAACCGAGGTCATGGCAGGGAGATTAATGTTTTCACAGGGCCCAGCGTCCTTTGGTGTTGGATTGTTCAGCCGTCTTGTTTTATAATACATGCTAAGACGATCATGGGCCTAATCTGAGTATACTCTGGATGTGTCGCTTTGAATGGCAATATGACTGTAAGGCCGTCTCTGTGTAAGACTCGGCTGACACTGCTCGTCCTGGAAGGGATTGTGTGAGTGTGTGTGTGTGTGTGTGTGTGTGTGATGTGAGAGACCGTCTGTGTGTGTTTGATTTAGGATCAGGCCTGCTCATCTAGGGCCTAATACCATAATCCCAAAAATCACTGAGTCACAGCTCAAACATGCACACATACACCAAAACACCAGAGTACACACACAGACGTACACTCAGACGTGCATGCGTACATTCAGCCGTGACCCGATTCTGCCGAAGTGGGACACAAAAACTCCTTTTGAGTCTTCTGATAACAGTTTACATTTAAAAAAAAGATAGAAGTCAATGAGAAAACAGTAGAATCCCAACAGGAAGAAACTCCTGCAGCTGATTCACTTCTAGCAGCTTATTTTATGAGCATGACTCAGTTCCATACAGTTGTAAAACCCCAAGCCAACATCACGCGCACACACACACACACACACACACATACACAACAGAGACACACATTTAAATGACAGAGGAGTACGGGGTGTTTATACAACTTACTTTAAATGGGACAGGGACAGACGGTAAGAGGAGCTTCTAACATATGTTTATCAACCTCAGTCTTTAAAAGACAGCTTGCCTAAATGCTTTGATGTGCTACAACTTTATTGCAAGGGACTACAACAGAAGCACTGTACAGATAAAACTCTCTCACACACACATTTCCAGTCACTTGGTAGCTGCACTGGCTTGGCAGAAAGTGTGTGTTCACGAATGTGTGGAGGAGACTGGGAGCAAAAGTGCATATCTGTGCTTGTGCACATCCTGGGCATGTGTTTTAGATCTACAGCAGAGTATTTATGTGTGTGTGTGTGTGTGAACGTGTGTTTGGACATGCTCAAGAGTATATGCGTTTTTTAAGCTGGAAGACAGACAGACAGCCAGGGCTCCAGGACAGGCGGGGGTGGTAGGGCTGCTCACACATGCTCTACCCAGATAAGGCTCATCTGTTTGGGCTTGGCCTCCCACTGCCTCCCTCTCTTCACATCGGAGCTGCCAGTTTCTCTGCCTCAGGTCTTTCCCAGCTGAGGTGGGTGAGTGTGCTTCAAAATGCACACTAAGAGCAGGACTGAGACTATTTTTTATTCTCATTTTAGGCCGTTTTAGGTCTTCTAAAAGACCAAATCCAGTAAAAGCAGCGCACTGTGAATATATTGGAAAACAGTCTAAAAAAAGTGCAAGCATGATTTATGTCCTAGGATATTAAAATGGTCAAGGGTGAGACCAAAACAGTGGGCAGAAACAAGTTTGCTAGAAACCTAAAGCGAGTGTATATCTGATTCTATACTGTATGGAACCTGCCAGTGAAACACATCATCGGACTATTAATATCCCATGCCGTCATGGATAGAAGCTCTCATACACGAATCCATACATAAATATATACACTCAAACACACGTATGTACTGCTAAATCTGTGACAACGTGGTGACATAATGCACTCCCCCAATCTCCAACCCCGACCTCAACCATCATGACTTCATGCCCAGTCGAGATCCTTACTCCGTCTCAAACTCTGCAACCAAGTCAGAAACCTCAAACAGCCCTTTAAACAAGTGAGGAAGTGACCAAAATGGCCTAATTTCCTTACCCTCAATGCTAGAGAGAATAACCCTCGAGTGATCATAGGCAATGACGTTAGCATAGCGGTTCTTTGGTTTGTTGACCTCCAAGTTGGAGTTCTCCCATGTGAATTGCTGACCGGGGTCGACGGACTGCAAGAAACAAAAGCGAGGTTCAGAGGAAAGAACAATCATCAACAACATGTTTTCTGGTAGCTTAGGACAGTTATTGCATGCTAAGCCAATTCTTTTGTTCCCAGAAATTATCATAATGAAAATGATTAGTTAGTAGTTTTCAGATGGTCGTACTGGCAAGTAGTGTGTCAAAATCATTATTCTGATAAATAGTCATAGCATGTATGATTCACTTATAACAAGGAAAAAGCTCTTGTAAATGCTGGTGGAAAATGTTAACATCATTGTATTTAAAATTACCCCCCCAAAAGAACATGAGAACTAATAAACACTTTCCAATCCCTGTTGTGGTGTAACATATGATATACAACTTATGTATGTGCGGTATTGTCTGACTCTATAATGATATTATACATAAGCTCCAAGCAGCACCACTGAAGAACTTGGCATTGAGAAAAGCAAGACTTTGACAATTCCATGAATCTGAGCTTACAAGCATTGTCCAGCATCACTGCAGTAAAACCCGACCAATAGAAACCTGCTACAAATTGAAAATTAACGAGGCATTATTGATGTTGGAAAGGCACACGGGCACGTATGATATCCCCTTTCGAGAAAGACTTTCCACTTTCAACGGAGAAACTAGCTAGCAGAGAAAGATGATAAAAGCACAATAAATTCCACTGGGAGAGAGAGAGGATGGTTGTGTTAGACCAACACATTAAGTTCCTGGAGGGTAATTACAGTGTAACCATTGCTGTTAGCTGGGAGAGGCAGACATGAGGTCATTATGGGGCTGTCAATGGAGAGGGATGAAGAAGAGAGAGCCAGAGCAATTTAGCAATTCTGAATATTTTACGACACATAATTATGGTTTGGTAGGGGGGGTGGGGGGAATGGACAGAAGTGGTACTGGATATGTGTGTGCTTGAGTTTAAGGCTGCTTTTCCCCCCTCCGACATCATGTGTGTCTGATTATCATACCGCAATCATTTCTGGCCTCTTTCTCTCCCTCAGTCCCTGTTCCATCCATCTCTCTTGTTCCTTCGTTAAGGGTTCAGTACCGAACAAAGCACACAGTCATGCAGAGAGAATGTGAGGCTCAACAGACTAGTTCCAACTCACACCACAATTACATACAGCTTCTCCCTCACTGTCTCTTCCCTTCTTTATCCCCTCTCTCCCCCTAAAAGATCCACGCTCTGTTTTTCTACTTTTTGCATAATATGTCCTTGTCTTTTTCTATATACGTATATCTGTCACACACAATTTGTCTCTCTTTTGTGGTAGCCAATTAGAGTCCTATGTCTAGTTCACCCAGAGGCCCCTTGGTCTAAATATATATAT